TCCGCATGGAGCTCTAAGTCCAGCCAGGAAGATAGGCAGGCATGAAAAGGAGGCAAGAGCCGAATTCTGAATTATGTTCAGGGTGTCACAAGATGATCACTGAGCACACGGGCTGTGGATTTTTGCCTGATTCTCTTGGTAAGGAAAGACCAAACCTCTTTAAATAGTGATCAGGTCATTCATTCGTTCACTCATTCACCCAACAAAGATCTGCTGACCACTTACATTATGTCCCTGGCACAGTTTAGTTATGTGAGAGAGAGGTGAACAGGAAAGGTGAGGTCCCTACTTTCATGAACTTACAGCGTATTCACCCCAAATACAGTGAACAGAGGAGTAAGATCTTTCCAGCTGGTGACAGGGCTTCGAGGAAAGACAACAGGGTGGCGGACCAGCAGAGGGTGGGGGCAGCAGGATGAGGCTGTATTACGTCCCTCTGACCCCCTGTTAGAGCTGAGGCCCAGAGTGGAGGCAGAGGCTGGCACGTGGAGATGGGGCCGGGGGAGCAGCGAGGACAGTCTGGGGAGGGGACGTTCCCCGGGTGCGTCTCGGAATAGCCGCAGAGTCAGGCTGGGAGGCGGTGGGGCCGGGGTCAGGCTTGCAGCCCCCATGGGGAGACACTCTGTCCCCAAAGGGAAAACAAGGGGCCGAATCCTTTTTTTCCAAATCACTGCTGGGAGGTGCCCGTGCCTCCTTTTACTGGGAACTGCTGACAAGGAGAAAGCACTTGCAGGATTTGATTTAATTTGGGCCCTTGGAGCCTATCAGGTTATCCTGTTCCCCCCCCCCCCCCCCCCGTCCTTCTCCTTCCTGCCCTTGACCCTCCGTCTTCCACCTGGTCTGTCCACACAGTGACAGCTTGCCCTCTGATGCCATGTCCCTAAGCCACTCAATATCCTATGCGTTATTAAAATCGGGAAAACATAAGATCCAGGTGCAGCTGTTATCTTACTGTTGATCCTCACAGGAAAGGAACAGGCAAAGGAGAGAATAAAATCCCAGGACACTGAGTCACGTCAGCCCAAAGCAGCGAGACCAAGGCTGGCAAGTCTCCGGCTGTGATGGTTCATAGGGCCCTTGGAGCCACAATGCTGTGAAACAATGACACCAGCGTGATTCTCCTTCATGGAGGGCAGTAGGGGAGTCCGGAGAGATCTGCTTAGGCTTGGGGCAGTAATTATATCAGCCAGCAGGCATCGAGCACCTACTGTGTGCCAGGCCCAGCTCTCAGCACCCATAGGTGTCATCTCATTTAATTCTCACAATAGCCCTTGGTGGGGAGGATGGTTTTAGCCCCATTCCACAGATGAGGATCCTGAGGCCCAGAATGGGGAAGTGGTCTGCTGTTTGTCACAGAGCTGGTAAGAGAGGGACCTGGATCTACTTGCAGTCTGCTTACTATACACATTGAAGCTGAGAAGCCCAGTACACGTACATCCTTGCTGAGTCGTGTCTGACACCTTGAGACCCCACAGACTGTAACTCACCAGGCTCTTCTGTCCATGAGATTTCCCAGGCAAGAATACTGGAGTGGGTTGTCATTTCCTCCTCTAGGGGATATTCCTGACTCAGGATCAAACCTATGTCTCTTGAGTCTTCTGCACTGGGAGGTGGGTTCTTTACCATAGAGCCATCTGGGAAACGAAAAGCCCAGCACTGGCAGAATAAAGCAGAAAATGATGTGTTGGAATTATGAAAATCAAGATTCCATGCTCCCCTAGCCTCTCCTTACATAGGTAGATGTCAGAGGGATCCTCCGATCAGGCGAGTAACATGATTTTCCTGACTTTAAACGGGTATGCTTGTCCTAGCTTAAACGTAAGCAAACAGGTTATGCTTGTTTGCATGGCTCATTGGTTAATATCTGCCCTCCCCACCTCTACCTCAGATGATATCCCCTACATGGGGCATGCTGTTTTTTTCCTCAGCAGCGTATGTCCAACTTCTGGCAAGGTGCTGGGCATGACAGACACTCAGAAATGATTTGTTACAAAAGGAAGAAAGGAAGGGATAGAAAGTTTCATGTACACACTAGGGCAGCTCTCTCTCTGCCCGCTTTTCCCCTTTTATATGTATGAACTGGGGTGGACCCCATGATCCCAGGCTGTGTCTATGCCTGATGTTCAGCATATAAAACTCTTTCGGGCCCAACCACATTAACCCTGAGGTTGGCTTCCAGCTGAACAAGCGTAAGTAGTGATCAGATCTATGCTGACAACAATTTGACTTTCGCCTTGCTGCCTCAAAGGAAAGAGGCTAAAGAGACAAAGGGCTTTGGGGGACGTGGTTACAGCACAGTCTGTCACCGCGGAGGAGCAAGATAACCAGAGGATGATTTATTGCAACCTTCTGGCGTGGTAAGAGCCAGCCACTTAAAGGGGAAAACGGCTCAGCCATGGCCACCTGCCTGGAATTTAGTGGGTATTTGTACTTTGTTCTGACACATAGAACCTGTGAGCAACTTTCCTGTGTTTGACAAACTTTACCCCTTATAAATTGCTGCCTCTTACTGTGACTCCAGTTATTCGGCTATCCAGACTCCCTTGCAGCTAGGGTGGGGGCATTGCAGATGCACTCGTCATCTGCATTGATTTATGTACATTTTGAATTGGAGTCATGCCACTTTAAGAAATGGGAACCTTGTGAAGGCAATTCTGGGGATGGCCCAGAGTGGGAGGAGCTTATAGTAGGGCTTTGAGTAATGGTAGCCGTGGAGTCTGTGCCCAGGGTACCAGAGGAATCTTCCTGTGAAGAGCTCTGAGGGAGGATTTGAGACCAAGTTCTATGAAGCCTCAGTCTGATTATCTGTCCCTTCTAGGAAATCTTCTAGTCACCCACTAGGTATTAGTAAATTCCTTTTCAGCTTAAATGTACTGTTGTGAGTTCTGTCGTTTTCAATGAACTGCCCTGACTCATGCATGGTCCAGAGGTGCCTAAGGGCCAGAAAGGCAGACGGTTAACAAGGGGGTGCATGTGCTTTGGAGGGGGCACGTGGAAACCAGGGAAGCAAGGCAGGCTGCCCACGACTGATCACACTTACTTTCCCTTAGTCATTCCACAAACATCTGTTAAGATCCAGCAATACCAGGCACTGTGCTGGCTGGTGGGGATAGAGCACTGGATGGGACAGATGAGGTTCCTGTCCTCATGGGGCTTCTATCCTGGGTGAGGAGATTTCAGATTGATTGGGGAAGGCCAAGAACCCTGATCCGCATCAAAGGCAGTCTGTCCCCCTCTTCAGGTTCAGGTAAGAGTCAGAGATGGAGTCTGTCATTCTCCTGCTGGGGGTTGCAAGGTTTGCTGGGCTGCTGCGGCGTGTGGCAAGGGGTGTGACTGAAAAGGCAGGAACTTATACTGGAGGTAAAATTAGCCATCTATTCTAGTAGCATTCCATTTAAGGCCCCGTCTTGCCCCTTCTCTGGCTATGAGAACTTGGATGAGTTTTTTTTCCTCTCTGGATTCATTTCCTGGTCTGAAAATGGGAGACAGACACCTGCCTTAGGGACCAATTCTGGGGCCATTACCTGTATCCACCTCCACTTGTTCTTCATGCATTGGCACTGATTTTAGATGCCCCACTGAATGTTCATGTAGGTTAAGAGTCTCCTTCAAAGGACCTGATCCTGAATCAAGTCCCATTTGATATACATAGAAAAGTATCTTTTAAAACAAAAAAATGTTTTGAAGTATACTGAGATTTTCAGGAATGAAGCCACGGTGGTGGTAGGTAAGGGAAGACTCTAGCATTCAATATTTGTTTCATTTAGGGCTCACAGAGGGTTGGTCACTGGTTTGAAACTCGAGATGCTCGTGGCCAAGCCTCTCTTGGCGCCTGAATCGCCACAAACAGACCAGCTGTCACGGCTCTGTGTTTGTAGCTTCATTCACTGGGATTCTACATCCAGGCCCAAGCATCTGATGACTTTATTACATCTTCTAGCTGAGTTATGCCAGAGCATTTACATGCCAAAATGTTTTTACTGTGAATTTCTTTCCTTTTCCCTTTATATTATAGTAGGGATCTTACATTGATGAAAATATATGCATGTAGGTAGGTTATATTATCTCTGAATCTCATTCTGAGTTGAGAAAAAGGGGAAATTATAAAACATTTGTTTTAAAAATCAGGCTGTGGCTCTGATCCAGTTGGGAACCACACGTCTGAACAGAATCAGCAATGTCTTCTCTTTCCCCAGGGAAACTGAAGCTTCAATTAGAGATGGTTTTGAGCCATTCGTTAGCTTGAGTCAAATTTTAAAATGAAGGGGTTCTCTCTCATCTACCCATCCTTTGCAAGGATCGACACCCACTCTTAAATGAATCCTCTGGAGACCAGTGTAATTTCTACCCCATATCCCTGGACCCTGTAAACACTCCTGACATGGTACCTACTGATCAGAGCAGGGCTGTCTGGCTCTTCTCGGTGAGAAGTGCAGACCTGAGCTTGTGCCAGATTTACAGCACCGCCTGGTTAACAAATACTTTTTTTCTTTCATAGGAGACAGGACAACAATCAAGAAACAAATAAACACATTTTTAAAAAAGGCAAAAAACTTAGTCTTGTAAATCAGGGCAGAGGAGAGAGGGTAGAGAAAAGGACTCATTCTTATTCCACAGCTTCCGCGGGGCCCTGGCCCAAGGCCGGTTTCTATTAAAGCGCTGGGCCCAGGACAGCCAGCGTGCTGGCCGGGTAACACCGGGTAATGAAGGTTTGTCCCGACCCGAGTAAACACCACCCGTTCCCAGGACACTGAGAAGCAGCAAATGAAGCAGAGGTTAACTGGGTCATTGGCTGTGGCACAATGTGGGTCATTCTAGATGTAATTTAGTTCCCTTCAGCTGGAGGCTCCAATACGGCCACGGGTTCTCACAGCGGGAATGGTGTCTTAGCAGCAGCCAAGGGCTCTTGGATACCAGGCCCCATGCCTGCACTGTGATCCCGGCACCTCTGACATCACTGGGTGTCTTTGTGATGCAAAATGACATGTTGTCCAAACACACAAGGGGACCAGTGAGTCTGATGGTGCTGTTACGGGTGTACCCACCCATGGGAAGTGCAGAGACTTACTGCCAGGCGGCTGGGATTTATTTTAATCAGGTAGATACAGCAGAAATGACTGTCACAAAGGAAGACATTTACTGTACTCAGATCCACAGAAAGAGGAGGCAAGGCCTGCCCTGCAGGACCACATGCGGAAGCACCAGGGTCAGTCAGGAGGCAGAGGGAGGGGCAGAACGTGACAGAGTCTTTCCTGCGGTTCCTGTGGAAGGAACAGGCAAGGCAGGGGACGCAGGCTTAGGACCGGCTAAGTATTAACAGCTTTAGTGGGCTCTGGAGCAGACGGGCTCTTCCTAGCTGTCTGGTAGGTGGCCCTGGGGTGATCAGGGCAGGTAGACAGTGGCCTGGAGTGAGAAAGCCTGATGAAGGGGGTGGTTGGATTGATTGGTTTACATGAGAAAAGCACATACACAGGTGAGTTTTTTTCTTATTGTCTCTTGAACTGGCTACTTCTGAGAGAGAGGACCCCCTGGCACAACAAGGTTCCAAGATATTAAAGTGTCGGAATGCAGAAAAGACACAGTTAGCACCCAGAGATGCAACATGACATTCAGGCACATCAATAGCTGAGTTAAAGATGCCTTTCCTTCTTGTAAGTAGTAGTTATATTGTTTTCCCCAAAGTGTGTCTTATTACACAATTGTGCTCTTAATTGCAAGAACACTTGAGAAATTGCAGGGATAAAGTTACACAAATCCAAGTGTCATAATTATGCATTATGTATATGCTCTGCCTTTGTGTCTTGTTTAAAATATACAAGCCAAACAGAACAGGAGGGTCCAACAGCCTCATTTCGCACAGGCCGAACTGAGAGGGGATTGAAGGGGAGGGAGCCCCCTCGTCAGCGTCGCCGCCCCTGGCCAGGGAAGCCTGTCACAGGTTGGTGACACCTGAGTCAGATGTTCGTGGTGACAGTCACATTTCTGGCTCCACATTCTGAGATGCCCCAGGCAGATGGTGGAGGCCTGGTGAGGAAAGCCAGCCTGGGTGAGGCAGGCGGCTTAGGCAGCCCTGGGCCTCCCCCAGGGTCATCAGAGATGCATTGTTTGCATCATTCCTCACTCATTCCCCGTCACACAGTGAGCCCTTCCTGCCACAGGTGGGAGGGTTCCCTGCCCCGAAAGGATGCTTGGAGCCAGAGATGCTTCCCGAAGTGCAGGCCCTGGGGTTGAGTGGGGGCCTGTCCACCCCTCCTCCTGGACTCTCTGAACTTGGTGCAGTGGCACACACACCCAGGTTCATCCCCACCCAGGGCCCTTGTCCCGGCCGCTCATCCTGCTGGAATGCTCTCCCCCAGCTCTTTTCACGGCTGTCCCACTTCACCTTCTGGGTTTTGGCAGCATTACCTCCTCTAGAGCCCCTCCTGACCTCACTGCCCCCTGCTGCCCCCTCCATCCAGGCATTTCCTAGCACACGGTACCCTGTCTTCTCTTCTGGGTACCACCCACCACCATCTGAAAGAAGCTTGAGGACGTGTTTCCTGGGTGTCATCTCTCTTTCTATCCCCACTTGAGCTCCAAGGAGGCAGGGACTTGCCTGTCCTCAGCCCCACAGGCCCAGCTTCGCCAGCTGCCCGGGCACAAGGCTCTGCCTAGCACGTGACTGGGGACAACCCAGCGGGGGAACCTGGCATCCAAGGTCCTGGGCTCACATCCCAGCCTGGCTGTTGACTGGCCATCTGACTTTGAGACAGGGACGCCTGCTCTCTGGGTCAGGGTTCCCTCCCTGTGAGATGCGGCTGGTGCCAGGATTCTCATCTCTCATGACTTATGGGGAGGCTCAGAGACAGACGTGCAAAGTGCTTTGCGACTCAGGGAGCTGCAAGAGTGAAGCCACAGGGTCACGATGGCTGCTCACAAATGATAGGAGAGAGGACATGGGCTTGGGCAGAGCCCAGGGCGGCCACCGCCTGGAGCACTCGGCAGAGAAGGAAAGTGAGACCCAGGAAGGCTGGATTACCTGCCTGATGTCGGGAGGCAGGCAGAGGGAGGGGCTGGGCCAGGCACCTGGCCCCAGAGCCACACTCCCCCTTTTCTATTCTGTGTCGTCTCTACATTGTGTCTCCGCTACGTCCTCTGTGTCTCCTCTACATGCTGTTCTTCCTCCCCCAACAGGGCTCTGGGTGGAGCAGACTGCAACCCCGTGCAAACCAGGTGGAGGAACACACTTCACCCTCGTGTTCATCCACAGATGCTCTGTGTCTCTGGCCTGCCGTAAAATCTGTGAAAGTCGTAAACCACATCATTCCTCAGAGGGAAATCCTTTGACTTTGCAGTGAATAAGGGTATGTTGGAGAGAGATGTCACTGCCTATGAAACAGGACACGTGGAGTGTTCCAGACTGATATTCTGCATGGGAGGGGAGCCCAGCTGGACTCCACTGGGAAAGGCTAACCCCTCCGCAGAGTGACATTTACTTGATTTTCCCCTCATGCTGGCAAGGCTAGGCCTCCTGTAGTTCAACCTGTCAGAAGCTTCTGTTCCAAAGACTGCTGGATGTTCCTCAATATCCATTCCTCCTTCTTTAAGAGGAACAGAATCTGGCTTTGGGGGCTGGGCACAGAGCAGTTCAGAATCAAGCCTATATTTCCCAGCCTCCCTTGCAGCCGGCTGTGGTCATGTGACTAAGTCCTTCCCAGGGGGATGGGATGGTGAACAGCCTGGACCTCCACCTGTAGGACTGCCATGACAATCCTGAGCTGCTTACTCTCAGAAGATTCTGTGAGAGAGAAGGAAGCTGCAGCTGGAACAGTATTCTAATTCAAGGAGGTGGATTCCTCACCATAGCTGCTTGCATCCCAGACTCCAAGGGAGGGGTCACCCAGGCCTGTGCCCTTGTTAGGGTGCTCCACCCCCCACAATTGGACTTTAGCGTAAAACGGCATTTTGAGCTTTGTTGTTGATGCCCTACCGCTAGCTGCCTTTGTTCTTTGGGCCCAGCAGAGAATTTAGGCACTGGAAGATACAAACAGACTCTCTCTATGTTTTATTTCTAAGCCTCAAATGAAATCTCCATGCGTGACCACATTGTAATTGCTGAAGACATTTCTGTTATCGTCTCACACAAGATAAGAAAGAAAAAAAGTATTACAGCACATTGACCCAGATCAGACTCCTCCCTCTCCCTGTGCGTGGGTGTGCATGCACGCACACACACACGCACACACACACGCACACACACCAGTCTTATGCTCCCCACCCTGACTCCTTCGCCCCTGTATTTCAGTTTTTCTATTATTTCTCAAGTGCCACCCTGAAAGTGCCCTTTCAGGGGGGAAGAAGAGAGAAGCAAAGAAAAGGGGTGGCTTTTTCTAGAGTACCAGTGGGGAGGGGAGGGTGTGAGTGGACAAGGGATCGGGAGATTTCGGGTGCAGGTGAGGAGGGTGACGTGGACTGGGGGAGCACATTGAGGCCACCCAAAGCGCAGGAGCTTGATGCTCTAGGGATTGCCTTGCTCTCCCAGCCTGGCAGCACCGGTGCCCATGAAGCCCTGAGTTCTAGAATTAGAACATGGCCCTCACCCCAAGGCCTCAAGTAGACAAGGGGCCCCCAGAAAGCAGAGAAGCAGCAACTGTAGAAGTGGCCGGGCGCCGTCAGTGGAGGGTATTCTGTGGACAGAAACCGGGCGGCTGTTAGGAGCACCCCCCAGCCTCTCGGGACCCGACCTCGCAGTTGGTGCTGGTTGGTCCTTGAGGTGAGTCCCAGGGGTGTTTGTGTGTGTCCTGCGGGAGCCTCGGCGATTGTCTCTGGCTCTGAGCTCGTTTTGTCCCTGCAAGAAGGCCGCGGCTTCAGTTTAGCAGAAAGTCACCTGGGACTCCTGCTCCTCAGAGCTCTGCCGACGCAGCTGCCCCGTCATTGCTGCCTCTTTAATCCCCAGAACAGTGCGTTCGATGGGGGAACCGGGCGAGCTGAGAGGCCCCGGATGGGATGCGGGTGGGCTCTGGATGCTGGGATGTGGGAAGGGGCCCCCGGAGTCCCTGTTATGAGTCTGACCTCCTAGCAAGGGGCTCTGGGGCAGACTTGCTTGCTTCCTTTTAAAAGCCTCAGAAATCAAGATGCCTGCAATTTTCTCTGCAAGCAAGAACCTTCCATTCGCACACACACAGGGCATAATATTATTTAGGTTTGAAAATGAACTCAAGTGTGCTCTCCTGGCAGGAAATGGGCAGAGGCAACTCCAGTTACAGTTCCCTGACAGTTCACATAATTCAGCCAAAGCAGATGGCCCCACGTTGGCAGTGAGCAAGTCTCACCTGCAAAACTCAGCAGGTGTCAATGTCTTCCTGGTTTCTGGGCAGTTTGGGGCTTCCCAAAGGGCCAGGGAAGTCTCTGCCCCCAACAGAATCTTTTCCTGCAGGAGGCTCTCAGTGATAAGGGACGGGGGCCTGACGGGTGGCTCAGGCTGAGGGCATCAATAGACAGGTACACGGTGCTTGGTCTTCAGGCAGAGCTGGGTCTGCGTGTCAGATGCCACCCCTGGACTCGGCTGAGTGTAGCCCCTGAAACCATGGCTCTGCCTCACCCCTAGGCCCCACTCGGGCCAGAGGGCCGCAGGTGCCCCGTGTGGCTCCAACACAGCTCCAGACTCACACTGGCTCAGGTTCACATCCAGGGACAAAATCAGGTGCCACAAGAGCCCCAAGTCGCTGCCCGGCCAGCTTAGGTGCCTTCAGCTAGCCCACTGCTGGCCAGATCTGGCCTGTGGGTTCCTGCATCAGCCCACCCTGAACACAGGGATTGAGGTGGGAAGGCGAATTCTCAAATGATGATCAGGTTCTGTTCATTCAGGAAAGGGAGGTGGATGCTGGAGGATACCTGGGAGACATTCTCTCCACAAAGGGAATGTGACCACATTTTCAGAGGGTCGTGAAGGATTCAGATGGTGGGTGCAGAAGAAGTTTCCCCAATTCTGGGTTTATTTCTGAAAGCTTTGGCCAACCTGAGAATTCATGGCTGGGACGGTGGCTGCTGGCTGTCAGGTGACGGCTGTATGCTGTCTCCATCCTGGGACAAGCGAGTTTGGGGACCACCCCCTCCGCCTCCAGCTGCTGTGAACACAGTTCATAGGGAGCAGGCCTCAAAGCGTGTTCTTGAGGGCTGGCTGAGGCCACTTTGCAGCCAGGACTGCACTCAGCTCGAATCCACAGACACCAGTCCAATGGCTTGGCCTGGTGTTGCCATGCCCTCTTTCTGAGTAACCGGGCGGGGATTAGGTGGTCCAGGGCTGGAGCAGGGCTGCATGATACACCAAGGGCCGGCTCCTTCCACCACCAGTCTCCATCCTCGGCTTGTGCCTTTCCTGCTACAGATGCTGCCATGCCTCAGCCTCCTGTCTGCCCCCAGCCAGGAGGGCAGGAGGCGGTGGCGAGAGGAGGAAGAGGCAGAAAAAGAAATAGCCAAGCTTTCTCCCTGCAGCCGCCTGCTTCCGCCTCGGGGCTAGAAGGGCACAGCGGTCACAGGCACAGCGGCTGGGGGGCTGAACAAGGCCGGGGGAGCGTGTGACCATCAGGGTCCTGTTAGCGAGACAGAAGGGCCCTGGGTGGGCACCTGTCAGTGTCTGTCACAGTCCAATTAACTGGCAAAAAGGCTTGCATTTGTGTGCAGCTGTTTCCAATCAAAGGTACATGGTTCGCATCTTCGCAAACACGGATTCCTGCTCTAGAGTATTGAAGGTGCCCAAACCACGTGATCCTGCAAACATTCCACCTGGATTCTGAGTCGCCCAGTTCGCCAGCATGTGGTTCAAATGCAAAAGAAATTTCCCACATCTGCGCTCTCCATGATGGTATGTTTCTGTGCCTGGTACCGGTCACCCCAACTCCGGTCTCCGGCGGGCAGAGCCTCGCCGGCCCCCCCTCTGCAGACAGGCCGCTGGCCGGGGAGCCTGGGGTTGTCCTCCTGTGGCTCTGGTCTGGATGCCGTCCCGGAGATAAATCATCTCTCTGTAAAAAGCTGCAATGGTCCATTATTTCTGCTTGAAAATACCCCCGGATCTTCACTTGAGAGCTGGGGTGACAGGCCCTGCCTGTTGTGCTCAGCTCTGCATAAAATCGCCAGCAGCCGGTGGACTTCTGTAATGAGCAAGCTGCTAGCTTCAGATGGTAAATAAAATCCTATCCTAGTGTGTGAGGCTTAGCCCATGGTTTGAAAGTTCTGTCTGCAAAAGCAGCAGAAATGTGTACAGTCCAGGCTCAGGTCCGTAGGAAATGCCCTGTTCCCCCTGGATTATCGTGGGGATGAGCCAAAATGACAGAAGAGATTCCTGGTCTGCAACCAGGAGATTCCTGGTTTTGCAATATTGTGCAATTCTTTCCCGAGTAAACAGCGATTGATCACATAGTCAACTGAGTATAATTAGACAACTAGGATATTTCAACCAGAATATGACGGACAGCCATCTACCCACCACCAGATTCAGCAATCACCAGGCCCTGTCTAACCCTCTCCAGCTCGCTTCCCTCTTTCTGCCAAGCTATTTAAAGCAAGTTCCAGGCTTCTTGTGGGTGTTTCTTAACATACCTGCAACATCCTTATCACCTCTAAAGTTCAAGTCTCACAGTTGCTGTTTTCTCATTGCTTTCCCAGAATCAGGATTCAAACAAGGGCTGCCCGGCATGTGGTTGTCTATAAAGTTTCTTTGTTCACATGATTCCTCTCCCTTCAGTTCACTTTTCATGCCTCTGCGTTGCTGGTTCTGGAGTAAGAGGCTCCCTGGGTGCCGCCCCTTCTTGATTTGTCTGTCTACTGCCTCATGTGTCACCTCCACGTGGAAGAACAAATGGCTGTCACTGGGCAAGCTTGGGGTGGGGGTCAGGTTTCAAATAAACTCAGCCTGGGGTGTGGGACCATTGGAGCCAGCTTCCAGCAATTGCTTTAGAAAGTGAATATGAATGCTTTAAGAACATTTCCTGGATTACTATTGAACTAACAAAGTAGGTATTTGTTCCCAGCATCACTACCTCATTTGATATCAGCTCTGTTTCCAGTGAGTCACATGTATTAGCTGCCTGCCTTTCCTGGGTGAGCAGTGGATTAGAACTCAAGTCCCAAAGCCATGGCATTGTGCTCAGTCACGCCTGGGAGGAACTTCGAACAGTTGTGATGAAAAGAACAACTGGTGAAAGGGGCCGTGTTACACAAGCGTGTAGACTTGGCCCACCCAAGGGCATGTTATCTGGCCTCAGTTAACTTCTGGGTTGTGGGCATGAGTCTGGGAAGTTTAGTGTCCACTTGTTAAATAGTTACAGAAGGACACAGATGCTGTGGGCTGGGTTACACCATGGGCTGCATCTTACAAAATCCTGGGCCGTGATTCCTCTATTCCATAGATGAAGATACTGAGGCTCAGAGAAGATAAATTTGCTCAAGATAAGGCATTTTAGAGACTTGGGGTTCAGCCTGGGGACCCCTATTGCCTCACCACGCTTTCCACCCAGCAGCCAGTCAATGGCTGTTCAGTAATGAAATCAGCCGTAATGTTGTCATCCCGTGTCATTGTTCAGTGGCCCAGTCGTGTCCGACTCTTTGCCACCCCATGGACCATGGCCTGACAGGCTTCCCTGTCCCTCACCATCTCCCAGAACTTGCTCAAACTCATGTCCATCAAGTTGGTGATGCCATCCAACCATCTTGTCCTCTGTCCCTTCTCCTCCTGCCTTCAATCTTTCTCAGCATCAGGGTCTTTTCCAATGAGTCAGTTCTTTGCATCAAGTGGACAAAGTATTGGAGCTTCAGCTTCAGCATCAGTCCTTCCAATGAAATATTCAGAACTGACTTCCTTTAGGATGGACTGGTTTGATCTCCTTGCTGTCCCAGGGACTCTCAAGAGTCTTCTCCAACACCACGGTTCAAAAGCTTCAGTTCTTTGGCACTCAGCCTTCTTTATGGTCCGACTCTCACATCCATAAATGACTACTGGAAAAACCATACCTTTGACTAGACGGACCTTTGTCGGCAGAGTAAACTCCTCTAATTGGCGCTCGGCGTTCAGTCTAGTCCTTGGCCTCTTCTCTGCTCCTCACATTTGTCCAGCCCAGTCCTGCCTCCTGCTGTGCTCCTGGCCTGGAATGCTCTCCTGATGGCCTCTGCCTGCCAGAACCTTCTGTGCTCCTCTCAGCTCAGCCGTCACCTCTCCAGAGCGGCCGTCCCCAACCTCCCTATGTGGCTTGGTCTCTATTCCCTTCTTCTCCAACTCTCAGCTTATTCCCCACAGCAGTTTCATCCTTTATCAATCTCGTTATTTTCCTTACTTGGGAGTGTGTCTCCTTTACTAGGAAGCGGCCTCCTGAGGGCAAGGGCCAGCTCTGCCATTCTCTCTCTCCATCCCTACTACTCATGGAAGGTTATCAAATATTTAGTCAGAAAATAGTGGATCAATGAATAAAGCAGGTCCGAATAAATGAATAAAATTCACAGTAAATGTAAATGACCTTTCTCAAGAAGTCATATTACTAAGGCCAAAAAAAAAAAAAAAGACAAGAAAGAGGATGTCTGCTCCCTGTAAGCTGGGCTGTATGGGTACTTCATTCTATACGGAGAAGGGGAGTCGGACATGAGGATTTAACTGGAATGTGCCATCTCCTAGATGGTCTCTGGTTCTGATCTGTTCGCTGGAGCAGCGGTCCATGTTATAAGGGACAGGACCCTGCCTGCCCTGTTGAGAGCATGACGGTCCACTTCCTGACCCTGGTGGGGCGCCTGGCCCCTTGGCTGTTTATTTTTAAATTCTTTATTTTTGGCTGCGCTGGGTCCTTGTTGCTGCGCTTTCTCCAGCTATGGCGTGTGGGGGCTACTCTCTCGTGGCGGTGCCTGGGCTTCTCATTGCAGTGGCTTCTCATTGCGGAGTGTGGGTCCTAGGCATGCGGGCTTCAGTAGTTGTGGTTCACAGGCCTTAGAGCACAGATTCAGTAGTTGCGGCGCACAGGTTTAGCTGCTCCGAGGCATGTGGGATCTTGCCAGGCCAGGGGCTGATCCCGTGTCTCCTGTATTGGCAGGCGGATTCTTATCCACTGTACCATTAGGGAAGTCACTGTTCTTTTCCTTATTGTTAAATTCCAAGGGGCCCTGGGACCTTCCTTGTCCCCTGCCCACCCGGAGGACGCGTGCTCAGGACTCACAAGTCCTGGGGACACTGACCAGGGCTTTCATCACTCAGAAGGAGCTGCAGGGGAGCTGGCGCCTGGGAGGCGGCTCCTTTTCCTTCCGCCCCTGCATTTGGAGGCAGACAAAGGCGGACTTTTCTTCCTGCTTCACGTCAGGTGTCCCTTCTCTGAAGCTGGATTCACCCGTGGCTTTGTCTCGTGACCTTGCATCGTTTTCAGGATGTTTTTATCGCAGAACCACCTCAGCGCCCGAGAGAAAGGGGAACTGGTTTTGAAAAGGAAACACTCCTCTTAATTACTCTTAAGCTCCAGAGTGGCTTGCCCCAGGGCAGGGAGCCAGGCTGTGCGGTGCGTGTGAAAGACTTGGGGCCATAAATCCTGCCGGCCCTGCTGTGGCTAAGCTGCCCCTGGTGGCGTTTAATCAATGGCCTTTCTGGGCGCTCTGAGGGATGCTGTCTCGGATGAAATGAGAATCCACCTGCAGCTGCGTCTGGAGGGAAAGTCTCAGGAGGGGGTGGCCCCAGGTCCTCCCTCTGCTGAGTCAGGGGAGAGGTTAAGAGGGATGTTTTGGCCTCTGGGGCATCTTCAGACTCCACCGATGTGGCAACATCCCAGGATGTTTCGTAGACCAGCCCCCTCCAGATGGGCAGAAAGGAGGGGGCCCCCGGACAAGACCCTCAGCTCCCTCCCTGTGCTGAGGGAGTGCTGCTGCCATCACCGCCTTGGAGACAAGCAGGCTGTTCTCATTCCTGCTTTGTCCCTGTTCGGGTCAATCTTCAGAGGAAACCCAGGGCCAAGGCCTCCCTCATCCTGACTCCACTTCCCCCCAGCAGCCAGTGACGACGCCCCCACTCTCTGCCCCCTCCCTCTCCCCACCCCCAACCTCCTGGTCCCCTTCTTCATTCCTCCTTCCCATCCCCTGACCCCTGACCCTCCGCCCCCAGCGCCCTGCCCCCTCCTCGCCCCAGGTTCACCCCTGTGCACGCTGGGTATCTTGCTCATTTACTTGTTTGAGTTCGAGGACAGGCACCTGGAGTCTCTGTGACATTTCGATTCTGATTCAGTAGGGCTCAGATGGCGCGTGAGAGTCTGCACTTTTAGCTTCCAGGCAATAGAGATGCTGCTGGTCTGCAGGCCACACTTGGAGAAGCAAGACCTCAATACATTTTGACTTCAAACCTTCATAGCAATCCTTGAACTGACAGAAACTGGCTCAAAGAAGGGAAGTGACCTCTCAAGTGAGTGAAGTAGTCAGGTAAGTGACATCCTTGTGTAGTGTCCTCCCCAGGGTCACAAAGCAGGTGTGTGATGGAGCCAGGATTTGAATACCCATCTCCCTGATTCCAAAGTTCCCAGTCTTAATGATGCCATCTTGTGACTGTAACTATGTGGATGATTTTTAATTTTTCCTTAAAGTCTGTTTTACATCATTATCTTATTAATTAAAATTGATTATAAGATGACTTCCCCTCCCACAAGGACTTGATTACGAAAATTGCTCCCATCTTAAGTTCTTCCAATAAGACAAGAAAAGACTCTACACATGGACATCACCAGATGGTCAACACCAAAATCAAACTGATTATATTCTTTGCAGCCAAAGATGGAGAAGCTCTATACAGTCAGCAAAAACAGGACCAGGAGCTGACTGTGGCTCAGATCATGAACTCCTTATTGCCAAATTCTGGCTTAAATTGAAGAAAGTAGGGAAAACCACTAGACCATGCAGGAATGACCTAAATCAAATCCCTTACAATTACACAGTGGAAGTAAGACATAGATTTAAGGGACTAGATCTGATCGACAGAGAGCCTGATGAACTACGGACAGAGGTTTGTGACATTGTACAGGAGGCAGGGATCAAGACCATCCCCATGGAAAAGAAATGCAAAAAGGCAAAATGGTTGTCTGAGGAGGCCTTACAAATAGCTGTGAAGAGAAGAGAAGCAAAAGGCAAAGGAGAAAAGGAAAGATATACCCGTTTGAATGCAGAGTTCCAAAGAATAGCAAGGAGAGATAAGAAAGCCTTCCTCAGCGATCAATGCAAAGAAATAGAGGAAAACAATAGAATGGGAAAGACTAGAGATCACTTCAAGAAAATTAGAGATACCAAGGGAACATTTCATGCAAAGATGGGCTCAGTAAAGGACAGAAATGGTATGGACCTGACAGAAGCAGAAGATACTAAGAAGAGGTGGCAAGAATATACAGAAGAACTGTACGAAAAAGATTTTCACGACCCAGATAATCACGATGATGTGATGATCACTCACCTAGAGCCAGAAATCCTGGAATGTGAAGTCAAGGGGGCCTTAGGAAGCATCACTACGAACAAAGCTAGTGGAGGTGATGGAATTCCAGTTGAGCTATTTCAAATCCTAAAAGATGATGTTGTGAAAGTGCTGCACTCAATATGCCAGCAAATTCAGAAAACTCAGCAGTGGCCACAGGACTGGAAAAGGTCAGTTTTCATTCCAATGCCAAAGAAAGGCAATGCCAAAGAATGCTCAAACTACTGCACAATTGCACTCGTCTCACACACTAGCAAAGTAATGCTCAAAATTCTCCAAGCCAGGCTTCAACCGTACACGAACCGTGAACTTCCAGATGTCCAAGCTGGATTTAGAAAAGGCCAAGGAACCAGAGATCAAATTGCCAACATCTGCTGGATCATTGAAAAGGCAAGAGAGTTCCAGAAAAACATCTACTTCTGCTTTACTGACTATGCCAAAACCTTTCACTGTGTGGATCACAACAAACTATGGAAAATTCTTGAAGATATGGGAATATCAGACCACCTGACCTGCCTCCTAAGAAATCTGTATGCAGGTCAAGAAGCAACAGTTAGAACTGGACAAGGAATAACAAACTGTTTCCAAATCAGGAAAGGAGTATGTCAAGGCTGTATATTGTCACCCTGCTTATTAAACTTGTATGCAGAGAAACTTATATGCATGAGAAACGCTGGGCTGGAGGAATCACAAGCTGGAATCAAGATTGCTGGGAGAAATATCAATAACCTCAAATATGCAGATGACACCACCCTTTTGGCAGAAAGCGAAGAACTAAAGAGCCTCTTGATGAAAGTGAAAGAAGAGGGTGAAAAATTGGCTTAAAACTCAACATTCAGAAAACTAAGATTCATGGCATCTGGTCCTATCCCTTCATGGCAAATAGATGGGAAAGCAATGGAAACAGTGGCAGATTTTATTTTTTTGGGCTCCAAAATCACTGGAGATAGTGACTGTAGCCATGAAATAAAAAGACGCTTGCTCCTTGGAAGAAAGGCTATGACCAACCTAGACGTCATATTAAAAAGCAGAGACATTACTTTGCCAACAGACTATCTAGTCAAAGCTATGGTTTTTCCAGTAGTCTTGTATGAATGTGAGAGCTGGACAATAAAGAAAGCTGCTGCTGCTGCTAAATAAGTTGCTTCAGTCGTGTCTGACTCTGTGCATAGACGGCAGCCCACCAGGCTGAGTGGTGAAGAATTGATGCTTTTGAACTATGGTGTTGGGGAAGATTCTTGAGAGTCCCTTGGACTGCAAGGAGATCCAACCAGTTCATCCTAAAAGAAATCAGTCCTGAATATTCATTGCAAGGATTGATGCTGATGCTGAAACTCCAATACTTTAGCCACCTGATGTGAAGAACTGACTCATTGGAAAAGACTGTGATGCTGGGAAAGATTGAATGCAGGAGGAGAAGGGGATGGGGATGAGATGGTTGGATGGTATCACCAACTCAATGGACATGAGTTTGAGTAAACTCTGGGAGTTGGTGATGGACAGGGAGGCCTGGCGTGCTGCAGTCCATGGGGTTGTAGAGTCAGACACGACTGAGCGACTGAACTGAACTAAGCTGTTCTGATTGGATTCAGAGGTGGGGGAACGTCCAAGTGGCTTTGGAAGGAGGGTAAATGCTGAACATTTATCACGTAAGTTCTTACTGTCAATAGCTCAGCAGAAACCAAAAGGCATTTACAATGTCCTAAATTGCAGTCATTTTTTACTGTAAAAATTCAACATAGAGTCTATAGTTTGGAGCCCCGCAGACTTGAAGGGGCTGCTATTGCCTTGATGCGCATTTTCAGCCAGGTGAGACCCTGAATGAGAGAGAGAATTCTCACCCAGATGAGACGCAGACCTCAGCAAAGCTGCAGCCTTTCCTTGGGTCTTAGCTTCTTTACCCCCAAGTGCTGCACACTGACCACATCCAGGAGGATCCAATTTGGAGTCAGCCTCTCACAGTCATTAAGAGAGTTCAGTCCACGTGTCCTTGTTGTAGAAGAAATTAGGAGAGATTCGGTTACCAAAATAAACAGGTAACAACAGAAACAAAACCTCAGTCAGAGTCTGAATGGGGGTGAGGAGAGAACAGAATAAAATGTATGTCAATAACCTATTCTCTATTTATGTCCCCTTTTAATATTTGCATGTGTGTGTGTTAGAACACGCGCTTAGAAGACCCTGCAGATCTCCATCCAAGCAACTCACTAGCCAATAAAAAAAGATTAATTCATCTGATTCATCAGAGAAAAGGAAAAATACCAAGTAGACAAATACTAGAGTCACCCTGCAATTTATAATCAGGACTGTCAGGTAGGTGGAACAGAGAAGTGTTTCTTGCTAAATGGGCCCGGATTGCAGACATTCGCCACTTCATTTTCGGAGCGCAGACACGAACTTCACCCTGATAGATGGGGTCCAGGCTGCCAGGTCTCAGGCAGTCTTTTGTACTGTGCTCACCTAGAAACACCAGCAGCAGTGGCAGAGGGTCTAGCCCCATCGCCCTCTCCCTTGTAACCTGGGCAGGTCACCTCTTCTGGCCTGCCTTTGCCCACCAGGCAGTTCGAGTTGCCTTTAGAGACCTTAACTCCAACATTTTAACATCAAGAACCAGGCTAGTTTTGAGGAGGTGTGCATTGCACGCCTAGACTTGGCAAGGGAAGGCCCTGGTTTAATCATCTACCGATTACTATTATGTGACTCTGAGCAAATAGACAGATGGCTTGGGGCTGCCAGGAACAGAGGATTCAATGTAAACAGGCTTGAACAATAAAGGGATTTATGGACTCAAGCCTTAAAAAATCCCAGAGATAAAAAGATTCCAGAATGATTGGGTCAGGATGATTCAGTTTCCTTGAAGTTCTCTTGGTTCTTCCTTCTCTCGAGAGTCAGTGTTGATCTCAGACTGCCATCCCCTGTGGCAGCAAGGGAAGGCTGCTGTGGTTCTGAGAGCTGGGTCCACATCCCTCCTGTTCCAGAGGGAACCTCAGATGAGCCCAGGAGTCCAGGCAAACATGGACTCAGCTCACTGCCCACCTGGGCAGGTGCCTACTTTTGAGCCAGTCAAGGTAGGGGAATGTGATGAGCTTATTGGTTGGACCAGTCACTGCCCACTCCTTGATCTGGGGCCCACAGGGCTATTGGGTTGGGTGATTCAGGGTCACATGGAGGAGGAGGTGGCAGGGACTTCCCTGGTGGTCCAGCGTTTAAGACTTTGCCTTCCAATGCAGGGGGTGCCCGTACGATCCCTGGTTGAGAAGCTGCGATCCCACGTGCCTTGAGGCCAAAAAACCCAAAACATAAAACAGAAGCAATATTGTAACAAATTCAATAAAGATTTCAAGAGTGGTCCATTTAAAAAAAAAAAAAAGGAGGATGGAGATGGTGAAAAGTTGCCTGTAATCCCTTGACAGGTGCCCACGGCAAAGTCATTGGAATTCCTTCTTCAGAAGAACAGGGATAATGATAGCGACCATCTTCTACCGAAGTTGTCAAATAATCCTAGGAGCTCACAGAAGAAAAGTCCTTTGGAGTCAGCAAAGACCCGTATAACTTAGTAGGCGGAGCAGACGTCCTGGTTGTTACTGTTACTTTTATTAATGCACCAAAATTTGTTTGTTTACTGTGAAATTGGTTCAGGATGATAGAACCCTTGATATCAGATGTCTCAATCAAGGATGCTGAAAATTCTGTTTCTCTCTTATAAAATTGATATTGCATGAAATTGATTTATAATTAAAATTAATTTTTATTGCATAACCAGTACACAAGTATACTTCCTCTGTAAGAAAATAAAAATATTAAAGCCCAAATCCCTACTGACCTCCTGGCATGTAACCACTTGTATGTTAGCCACCATTGTCACTGTTATGAAAACACCTGCAGGGACTTTTTCTATGCAGTTGTCCATATGGACACCCAGATAAAATATGTAAATATTTATTCCTTCAACAAACACTTATTGAAGGCACTTATTCTGCCCTGTGCCAAGTACAACATCCATGGAAAGTACATGGATGAGGCAGGAAATGAACAAACGGATAAAGAGAAGGATAAAGAAATTGAGGGTGGATGATCACAGAAGGCCTCTGGAGGAGGTGTCATCTGAACAGGGGCAGGGGGAGGGGATCATGAAGGTACCTGGGGGAGGACAGATTCAGCAGAGGGGAAGGCAGGAGCAAAGACCTTGGGCTGGAACAGGTTGCCTTTCTGGGGAGCAAAGGCAGAGAAGGTAAGAGGT